TGCATCGTTTTTCCCTGGCTGTCTCTCTATCTCTGTGTCTATCTATATATATCTATATAGATATATCTGTCTGTGTCTGTGTGTGTGTGCATCCCGTTAGGGCCGTCACTGCCACGATCACCTCGAAGAGCGGCAACGCTGCTGCTGGGTGGTTGCATCTGCGCGCAGGGCTTCAGACACCGTGTGGATGCAGCGCGACGTTGGGCTGGACGGAACGAAGCGCACGCAAAGAAAACGAAGTACCAAACGAGGATTTGTGACACAAGTGAANGGGGGGGGGGGCGAAGTAAGAGCGTCTTTGCGCGTAAGAACTATATAATAAACGATGGAGGAAAGGAACCAAGAGCAAAAGAAATCAAAAGAGAATGAACACAAAAAACGTCGTGCCTGGCGATGACAGGCCCTTCCACGTACTTGCGCACACAAATGGTTATATACGTATATAAATATATATATATATATATATACATATATAGGTATGTTTGTGCATGCACGCTTCCATGTATGGAAGTGCATCTTCTGAATCTTCTGCGTTGTCTCTCTAACGGTTAGTGGGCGTAGCGGAGCGTAAGTGTTTATATACACATACAAATATATAAAGCTATACGCCACTGGGAGTGACTTTCTGAGGAGCTCTGCCGCTACTGGAAGCGACTTATTTATCCTCGTGAAGACTCGTGGAGAAGGCTGCAACCAAACAGTTCAGTATACAGATAGCACAAGATAAGCTGCCTACCGTGCGCAGGCATACAGAAGTGCACACGTACATATATATATACACACACAAGCAAGCACACGCATATTTACAAACTTTCCAATAAGTTGATTCATAGGTGGTTCCCCTGTGATGGCGTTCTTTGACCTGGTCGACATGACCGTGGCCTATGGACAGTACCTATATATTCTTCTTTCCATTTCGCCGATGAGCTTCCCTGACTTTTACGTGGAGCCATTCCGGAGTTTGCAGTATGCCACTCTCGACTTCATTAACTCATTTAGTGAGGGAAGTCGCTATAATAATCCACTGGAAATCACGCTGCCGAATTGGCTGCCGTTGGACTTCCGCCTCCAGTTTGCCGCCATCGTAATTATTGCACCACTTTTGGTGGCGCTTCTGGGGATTCTCATCGTCTGCGCGACCGGTGCTTTGCTTTGGATTCTGCTAACGCTGACCGCACTCTTTGCGATGATATTCGGAGCCGTTCTGCTCGCCAACCCATGGGTGTACTCGACTGAGGGTATCCCCACAAAGACGCGAGTGTTGTTGGTGAGCATCGGCTCCGTGTCCTCCGCGGTGCTTATCTGCGCTGGTATTGTTGTTACCTACTTGTGGCGCGCCCGCCTACGCAAGAAGGAGGACGCAATCATGGCCAACTCCTCCAGCGAGATGGAGGCGCATCAGCGAACGGTCTCACTCGCCGAAAAGGCGGTCACACGGACAGTAATGAACCGTCGCGCATTGGCCGCGCACTACGCATACGAGGACAAAAAGAATCGCTACATGAGCCGCCGCCGCCTGCACATTCTGTTTCCACAGACGGTGATGGGGGTGGGCAGTGTTTTTGCGGGCCTCATCATTTCTGGGCTGCTGCCGGTGAACACAATCCGATTCTTGCAGGTGAGTCACTTGGGGCGCGGCGCTGGTGGGTTCCTTCTCGCCGTTGGGATTCTCACACTTGTGTGGGTCGCTCTCGGTGCGTTCAAGAATGGCCGCCGCCTGCAAGTGAAGATAGACGGCCTGCTATCAGGTCCTGCACTCGATCTCATGATGATAGCCATCTCTCTCATCTACAGCCCGGTGCTGCTAAACATCTTGCACGTTCTGTGGTGTGTCGATGTGACGTGCGACGCGGGCGAGCGGATGGCGAACCCGGGTTCGATGACGCACACCGAACGCAAACCGAGCGTCCTCGATCCACCAGTGAACCTCTGCTACCCCTGCAACTTCTCCGTGTACTCGCAGCGCTGCCCAGCATCGCTGCAGACAGATTTGTGCGGCTCCCCCGTGAGGGAACGACGACTTGATTTCGATCAGACAGTAATGTGCAGTCAGATTGATGTGTTCTATTGGGTGGCAGTAGCAGTGATCCTATTTGCGTATACTGTATCATACCCGGTATTCCTTGTGGTCGCCGCCGACCGCGCAACTAGGATACTGGAAGCGGAGTACCCCCTGGAGAAGCGCATCTGTGACGAGTTCACTGAAAAGGAGCTCTACTATGAGAAGGTGCGGAAGTCAGCGAATGTGTCGGCGCCTATTTATCAGGTCTACAAGCGGCGTTACCGTAAGGCGCGCCTCACTTTCCTACTGCAGAGGATTCTTCTTGTGACCATAAGCTGCCTGACACGTCGCGGCCACGAAAGCACTCTGCCATGGCTTGGTTTAGCGCTTGTGCTCATCGTCTCTGTGCTGTACTTCGCATACACAGTGCTTCTGCGGCCGTACGCACGCTCTGTGGAGAACGTATACGGTGCCACTCACCAGTTCATCATCGCCGCTGTCGCCAGCGTCGGTATCGTCGGGAGCACACGTGGGAAGGATGCCGTGCCGTTCGGCTTAGCTGTCTTCATTGCGGTATTGGTTTTCTTAGCGCCATTGTTAGCACTCATCATTGGGTTCGTCGACACGTTTCGCGAGGACCGCCACCGCGCGGAACGGCTGCAGCAGCGTCTCCTCCGCGGCTTTGCGGTGAAGAGGGACTCCAATGCCCCCGGTGGGTTGGATGTAAGGAACGGCGAAGACTCTAATGATAATGGAATCAGTGGGGATGCCGCGGAGGATGAGGCAGTCCAAGGCGTTGTCTCTGAAGTGAGGAAACCGTCTGGTGATGTCTGTTCACATAAGAGCAACGACAACAACAGGAACAACAACGCGGGTTCTGTTCCTCTTGCTCTGGTAGGGGAAACACCAGAAGTGCCAACATCGTCTCACATCACACAGCACCAGCAAGGGTGCTGTGTGCCGTGCTTGCCGCAGTTCGAAGGAGGCGGGGGCGGTGACGGTAGGAAAGATGCGTCGTGTAGTGTGTCGCTCAGTCCACGTGACCGTCGCCTGCTCGTGGCGACGCCGTCGGAGCCGACAACAGAAAGAGAACCGCTCGATCTGCTCGCCCAGGTGGAAGGTCGAAGGGAGAGTTTTCTGCTGAGTGGCGCGGCACGCGGCACATCGGGAAGCCACGAGAAGGACCCCAGAATCGATGAGGAGACGAGCGATGACGACTACTTTAATGATAAACGTTTGTTTGTCCCTTCGATGTACTTTAGCGAGTACGATGGCATTCCGCTGGGATCTGCGAGTGAGGAAGCTGAGGGTGAGGGTCAACAGCAGCAAGAGGAAGAGCAGCTGCAGCAGCAGCAAGACGAAGAAGAGCAGCAGCAGCAGCAGCAACAACAGCATGACGATCACAACAATGATGAGGATAGCAGAAAGAACGCCACGAAGGGCAAACGGCGGGGGAAACTCTTCCAATGGCTGCGGCGGTGGCAGGAGGTCCTCCAGATTGGCGACACGCCGCTTCGGTATGAGGACGTCCTCAAGCGGCGGAAGGAGCTGCATAAGTCGACGGGTTTCTCTGAGCGACCGTTCTGGTTGAAGGCGTCGGAGACGCAGCTGCAGACGTACAATGTCGAGGGCGGCACGATACCGTGGTTCTGCGCGAGCATCAACCGCGCGCGGACGTCAGAGATCACTGCAGCCGGACGCCGTACCATATTTCCTCAACTGCGGGAGCGCAAGAATCAGCGGTACTCCCCCATGGTTGTGCCGTGCCGCCTCAGCGTAGCCACGGATGCCGGCGACAACCGCGTGCCCATGTTGACTCTCTTCCGCGGTGGCATTCAAAGCAACGCCTGCATCCCTGGCAACATGGCGATGGACGCAAGCGTCATCAGCAGCATCAGCAACAAGAACAATAATGTGCATGGTCACGCCACTGGTGCGAGTGGCCGCTCCCAAAATAGCGACATCCAGCACCAGGCGGCGGCGACAGCGTCCGGGTCCCAGTTTATTCCACCGGCAGTGCGCCACGCCTGCTCCCTCAACGCGCAGTGGAAGATTGAGAAAATGCGGCGCCACTTCCCACGGGATATCAAGTCCACATACAATAATGACCGACGCTCGACGATCTTCGCGCCTGTGATTCCAAAGGTCCACATGGAGGGGGTGGAGGTGATGAATTGGGATTTGTTCCTGGAAAAACTTCTCTCTGAGGTCTCTGATCCCCTTCAGAGTGCCATGGGGGGTGAAACAAGCGCATCGACAAGAGAAGGAGTGGCAGCACCAGCGGAAGAGTGCGTGGGCGGCGCTGGGGATATGAATAGGACGGCGCAGCCTGTGGACGGAGCGTCAGCACCAGCTGATCAGCTGCCTCAGCTGCGGCGCCACTATATCTTGCGTCAGCGCCTTCGCGCGGCCTTCCAACAACACTCAGAGCGGCTACGTACGCTGCAGCAGGCTGTGGATCACCGCATCGCTATCACCATCAAGAAATATATGCAGATGTTCTTTGTTGGCCTAAGCTTCTTCACGGTCGTGGCACTCGTTATGTGTCTCTGCGGAATGCTCCATACGGAGAGTTTCGACTTCGTCGACGGCGTTCGACATGAGAGCACTGTGGAGCACGAGCTCCTGGGATTTGGGAGCTGGGAGGAATTTACTTCACACTGTTGCTGCCTCTCGGTGTTGAACCTCACAGCAACATTCCCGTACTATGTCTTGGACGTGGAGGACTGGTTGTGCGATAACGGGCGCGTAAAGGAGCGGGTGCGACGCGATGCGTACCAAAGCGTTGTGGTGAGCGGGTACGCCGTGCGGGACAAATGCGGTATGGAATTCAGGAATGGCTGCACGCTTACTGTGGATGACAGCAACCACGTGGAGCTGATAGGCTGCAGCAGTGAAGTGACGGAGTTGGAGAAGGTGCGGTGGTGATGTGCTGCCCCTCCTTCTGTGCTTGTGTGCTGCTGGTGCTGGTGTGTGGAGAGGAATAGGGAAGAGAGGGGCGATGGGTCGGGTGCCGGGGAAACGTGGGTTAAAAGTAAGGATGCAGCTTATGGGGCTTTTTTGAATACACTTCCTGCTGGTTTTTTTTTTCCGTTTGGTTTCCCTTCTTCTGCATTCCGCTATGTGGCCGCTTTGCGTTGTCGTTTTCCCTTCACGTTTTCATTTGCATCTTGCGGCGCCCTTCGAGTTGTGTATTCTCTCTCTCTCTCTTTACTTACGTGGCGTTTGCCATTTGCTTGCGGTGTGCCGCTGTTGTGGTGGTCGTGGTTTGTGTTATGTGCGCATGTGCATAGATATATACATATATGTATGTATGCGTCTCTGTCCATGTGTGTGTGTGTGTTTGCATAATCTCTCAGATAAACCGAATTCGTGGATCCCGTCACACCGGTGTTCTCACCCCTCAATTGTCTCCTTTTTCTTGTTTTGTTTTCTCTCTTTTCGGGTGGGTGCTACGGTTGCTTTTCCACAAGGGCAAAGATATATATATATATATATATCCTTTACGTGTGAGCGGGGCAACTGCTGCTGCTCTTTGTCCCCCCACCCCCCGTTGGAAGCGCTGCCTCCACCCACATCCCCCTTTTTCTTTGTAACAAATGGATGGACGAAGGCATAATGAATTGCGTTCCAACCTTACAGTCCGCACTGCCACCGGTGTATTGTGCATCGTTTTCTCATCTCCTGATGTATCTGTGCGTGTGTCCTTCCCGGGTCACGCCGCGCACCCAGTGAATATGTGCACGCAGCGTCCACAGCACCAGTGCTGAGCGTGCTGGATCGCTCTGCGGTACGAAATTCGGTTCGCCCCTCATTACTGCCTCACTTAAGAAGAACCGGGCACGCACGTGCGACTGGATCGTTGTGTTTACGAAAGGGGGGAGAGATGGATTCTGCTCCTGCTCCTGTCTGTATCGTTGTTGCCCTCCTCTCATATTTCTTTTTTTTTTTTCTGTTTCTTTCTTGTTCTCGTCGTGCAATTACAGGCCAACTTGAGAAGATGCTCTACGATGTGCTGGAGCTTCTGATTAACTACCTGCAGTACCTGTACCTCACTGTGACGATTGCCCCAAGTGTCTTTCCTGCTCTCTACAGCTCACCATTCCGTTTCGTGGATGCGGTGATGCAGGCTCTCTCGTACACTGCCGCCAGCAGTGGCAGTAGTAGGAGCAGAAGCAACAGCACCACTGATAATGACAGCAGCAGCTTTGCTGGTAGGGGTATGGAAGGGATGCGCAAGGTGTCACAGCACGCTGGTGCACTGGGGATCAGTTTGCCGGCATGGATGCCGCCGGATCTGCGTCTGTTATTCGCCGCCACGAACGTTCTCGCTCCCCTCGTCCTCGTGCTGCTCTCCGCGCTGCTTCTTGGACCTCTTTACTTTACACTGTTCGTCTATCTTCTCTGTGCAGCTGTCTTCTGTACGGTGGCGGGTGGTCTACTGCTGCACGATCGCTCTGCACTGGAACTGTGGCACAACATGACAACTCTTTCAACGCTGTTGCGGAGTCTTTCTTTGCGTGTGATAATTGTAGTGACAGTCGTGAGCGCGTCTGTTGTGGTGTTTCTCCTCCTCGTTGGCGTCATCCTTCGTATTGTGTGGGGGACCCGTGACCGCGCACGGGTATTGGAGCGGTTACGACACATTGAGAATGCTCCACGCCCTGTGGAGGAGCGCGTCGCCGAGGAGCTTCTGCGCGCGGACGTAACTATTCAGACTCCCACTGCCGCCACGACTCGTATTGGGGGCAACGAGGAGATGGAGGAGGACGTGGCGGTGCAGCGTGCCCAGGCGGAGCTGGCGTACCGGCGAATGCACTGGCGGCGGCACAAGGAGACGAAAACCTTCTCGCTTGCGTGGACGATGCTGAAGGCGGCCGTGGTGGTCATCTGCGTTACTGCCGCGTTCCTCTTCGCACGTGTGCAGAAGTCAAAGACACTGGAGCCGATTCAGAGCAGCCCTGTCTTTTTTCCCCTCGCTGGAGTGCTGTTTTTCCTGGCACTGCTGTTCGCGCTCTCACTGGGATTAGGCGTGACGCGGCGAGGGCGGGAGCGGTTGTTCGCCATTAAGCTCTGGCTGCGCTACACGTTCCTCTGGGTGGCATTCCTTGCCGTTTCGTTCATGTACACGCCCATCCTCCGAAACGCTATCAACCTCTTTCCCTGCGACTCAAACGACTGCACAGTGGTGGAGAGCAGCAGCAGCAACGGTTGCAGTGACAGTAGTGGGCAGAACTTACCAAAGAGGAGTGCATGCATTTCGACTGCTGGAACGTACGGCACAACAACGGGGGTTCCTCGCCTCTCTGCAGACGCGCGCGTTCCTTGTAGTGGCGTGGATGGCTTATTGTTGTCGTCAGCGATTCTCACATCAATTACATACGCCGTGTTTTTCGCCCTCCTATACGGTCTCGTCACACGGCAGGTGTTGCATGCCTTACAACAGTACCCTCTGGCCAACAACGCAGTAGTTGCGGAATCACCTCGAAGAGGCGATCACACGCACGANGCGGGAAAGACTCCTGGTGGTGGCGACGCCGCTGCCACATGTGCCTCTCTGCCACGACGTCCTCCCTTTGCTATGGATGCGACAATCTCCCACATGGTGCGACGCAGCAGGAGAAGAAGCAGGCGGCATGCAGCATACTACGAGCGTGTGCGTGCCTCGACAAACGAGGCGCAGTTCCTGTACGCCCCGTATACACGTCGGTTCCGCTACTTTAAGCTTGTTGTGCTGGCACAAAAGACGGCGATGGTGCTCTTCTCTACGGTGATGCGAGAGGGCAGTGGAGTGGCGCGCCCGTGGACAGGCTTTACTGCCTGTCTGCTGCTCCACGCCGGGATTGCTGTTGTCCTCGTTGTGTGTCGGCCGTACGCTGAGCCGCTGGAGTTTGTCGTGAGCCTCGTGCTGCAGGTGATGTTGTCCGTGGTGGCAACGATGGGGCTAGCGTCTGGAGCTCTGCCGGTGGCGTTGTGGTCGGTGGTGACGTCGTGTCTCTTTGTCGTGCCGTGCGCGGGGGTCGTGGTGGGGGGCGTCCTCACGCTTCGGCGCCGCTCTCGGCAAAACAGGCAACCTGCACAGCCAGCAGAAGAAACAACAACGGCTCGAATGAAGAAGAAGGAGGAGGAGGACGACGACGACGACGAGAGGGAGTCGCGCGGCGTACGGCGTTCTTGTGTCGGTTGCTGGGCGGCGCTGGCGCGGTGCTTCCGGAAGAAACGGCCTGGCCTTTGGTACGAGCGGTTTGGCGAGGAGCGCTTGCCGCAGCACGTCTTTGTCCCCGCGCTCTACTTCGCGGGGGTTGGCGGCGGGGCGCACGCACGGCGCGGTCTCGTGGGTGGCGGAAGCAACGGCGGCGACGGTGCGCGGG